CTGCTCTCCTTTGTCAAGAAATCTGAACACCTCAGGCTTGGAATGGAATCTCAATCCAGTTGATGGATCAACATATATCTGCAACAAAATAACAGTTCAACAAAAATTAAAATTGTAATACAAAACGAAGAAATGATTTAATCTTCATCAGGTTAGTAATGCTTAGTCCATGCAACATAAAGTAAATTAAAGATGTAAAAAGAATTGAAGTAATAATCCCGTTCATTTTTCCGTGTCAGTATTAAAGATCTAATTCACATGTCAATGGGACATAGGACAAGCCAATCATGCTTATTGAAGTGGTAGCCATTGATGTGTAGCAGCATAACAGGAATACCCAGCAGAACCGGCAAAGAGTAGTAATGGAAAAAGAAAATGCCGATAATACAGTATTACACATCCCATGTGGTACTAGAAGATAGAAAAGCACTATAATTGCTTTGCATAAAAGAAAAACAAATTTCATACCTTGTAGGATTTTCCAATTTTTGCACCACTCTTATAGGTTTTCAACTCCGTGAACCAATTCTTAGGTAACCATTCAGGATGTTCATTTGCTTTTACCACAATCTGCATGATGATTGAATAATTAAAAGAATAAAAATGGAAGGGAAAAAGGACAGTAAATTAATAGATGCTCTAAACTCACATTCGTTTGTCCATTTGCTGAAGATATTTTAATTAAACACAGTGATAAGACAGCAATTGTATCTTTCACACCCCAACTTCAGTGAGGAGAGAGGTAAAGATTAAAGTAGTTCTTTCGGGATGCAAAATAGATTTTGGATAATGTAATAGTATCTTGGACTTAGAAAAAACAGTTGGAGAAGAAATGAACTTTTTTGAAATGTTACCATAATTTATTGTATAGCACATTATGGTTTCTTAATAAGCACTAAATCTCTCTCTCTCTCTCTTATAGCAAATAAACAAATAGACACATAGAAAGAAAACATTCCTAAACAAAGTAGAAAAACAAAATGGCAAGAAAGGATATTTTGAGAACCAACTTTGCTTGTTGAGTGTGAGACTCTTTTCTTCTGTTTAGGTTTGCTACTTTTCTGCTCTACATGGTTAAGAAACCGGAACACCTGTAGCTTGGAATAGAATCTAGATCCTGTCGATGGATCAATATATATCTGCAACAAGAAATCAGTTCAATAAAAAAATAAAATTGAAATATTACAAAAAGAAAAAAAGAAGGAGCTTATAGTTCCTCAGGTTAGTAAACTTGCAGTCTGCGCAACATAAAGAAAACTCAAGTCGTAAAAGGAATTTTGGATAATTAGTTCCATTATTATATGTGTCTGTATGGAGGATCTAATTCACATGTTTAAGAGACATGGGACAAGCCATTCATGCTCATTAAAGTAGTAGCCATTCATGTGCAGCAGCATGACAGAAATATCCAGCAGAATAAGCAAAGGGTAGCAATGGACAAAGTATCCTCCAATATAAAGTATGAGAAATCCAATGTCAATGTGGTAACTGGAAGGTAGAAAAGCACCATTTTCCCTATGCATAAAATAAAAACAAATTTCATACCTTGTAGTGTTTTCCAGCTCTTACACCACTCTTACGGGTTTTCAACTCCATGAACCAATTCTTGGGTAACCATTCGGGACGTTCATTTGCATTTACTGCAGTCTGCATGATAATCGAATAAGAGAATAAAACAAAAACGATAAAAACGGCAGTTAATTAATAGGTTATCTAAACTCACATCCACGCGACCATTTGCTGGGGGCATTTTAGTTTGCCTTGGAGTTGGCTGCAGGTCATCACATTTAGTGCTTCCTGTTTTAGTATAGCGAATAAGATCATCCTTTGTAAAGAACTTCTGACCAGTTGCCAAGTTTATGTAATGCTACAAAAAGGAAGCAATAACGATAACAGCAAAACCAAGTTAGCAGATTTGAGGTATATAGACAGCTTCTTTCTATATATTACAGTTTGTTAAGTCTTATATTCCTTTTTCTCTTTCTCTCTATTGTATTATTTTATTTAAGCAGTGGCAAACATCTATAATTTTCATTGCTCAATTATTTTGTCACAAAATACAAGAAAAAAGGGGAGAAATTTTGACACCGTATCATCAGCTATTAAAGCCTTAACCTAAAGAATCAATGTTTCAGTGCCACGAGTCACCACCATTGTGTTCTCTTTTTTATTTTTCCCCATATTTTCTAGTGAAAAACGAGAAAGAAATCATTCCAATGCCTTAAAAAATTCCTCATAGAGAACAAAATCCACCTGTCATTACACAAATTTACTACCGACAATTCAATGAATTCCCATTTTCATGCAATAAATCACTAAAATGCTTAATCAACAGAATCAAACCCCAATCCTTTCCCCGTTCGCCTCCAAAATTATATTGATCAACATACAACCCTCGTTTCTTCCACTAACCCCCGAATTCAACATGCAAGGATCAAGATATGTCATTTGACTGCATTTCTTTCACATGCAACTAAAAACAACGGATCATCAACTAATAAAAGCTCCATAATCTTAACCTTAAACTCCATCAGTTCATATCTCCCCTGCTTCACCAAAAATTCTCCCAAGCAGCTTATTTTTTAGACTAAAACATTAAATTAGAGAAAAAAAAGCCCTAAATGGCAATAAATACAACTACCAGTTCAGTAATAATTAAACTAACCGTGATTCTGCGGCCTGTTTTTTGGACTTTGAACTGTAGAGTCCAGCCAGCTGGAAGCCAGTCCGGTGAAGTTTTCGCTGTCATTATTACTTTTTCCGGCGATCAATTTCTCCGTCTTTCCTTTTTTTCTTTGTTTTTGAGGATTAGTAATTTATAGAGGTTTGTTTGGTGGCTTTGGACTTAGAGTCTGTCTGAGACAGGAACTAAAGAAGTGAAGTGATATGTCAACGAACAAAAGAAGACTGACGAAACTACCGCCACGTGTGACCCAAAAACAACACGTGGGCTATTGTAAATTCTTTTTGGAGTTAAAATGTTAAAACAAGTTGAGAAAGATTTATTTAAGGCGATTTTGACCGTCAG